TCAATCTTCAACTATTAATCCATTGATCTTGTGAAATGATTTGAGCCATGAAGTTAGGTAAAGATATTTTGTTTGAGTTCTTTGGTGAGAAATTTCTTGATAAAAGAGAGGGAAAATTTTGGGGTACAATATTATGCATTACTTATTATTATAGATTTTCATAATGATATGAAATCTCACCCTTTTGTTGAAATGATATTTTATAGGACATCACTCAGGTATCGAGAATAGCGGTGGCTCTTATAACAAGGAGTAGTTGGAGGAGCTAGTCCTTTATTTATCTATTTTTCTAGGTATTAAGTCATTCTCTAGTCTATCTAACAAGGAGGACGTTTGGATTCATGTTATTTTATTATATTCATGTTTATTTGAGAGATGTTGTTATACTCTCTGGATGTTTATGTTGGATTGAGATGTATGTGATGATGGCCTTTAATGCCTAATACTTTATATTATGATTGCCATTATGGTATTTTAATCATTATTATTATTACTTTGATTTGATAATTATTCTGTTGCGAGATGCATATGTGTTATTGTATGGAACATGATTCTAAATGTGTGTTATGAATATGACCAATGTATTTGTGTTGTTGTCGTGAAGTAAATGTGGTTCCCTCTTTGATATGCATGCTAATTACTCTAATCATGATATTTATTTGTGTGGGGGTTTAGAGGGTGTACATGGTGTTGAAGGTAGAGGAAGAGTTGGTGGTCAAAAGCTTGACAAAATTCATATTCAGTGTTTCAATTGTCAAAAGTATGGTCACTACTCTAGTGATTGTCCTGGAAAATAAAAGAATCAAGAAAGTGATGCAAAGTTTGCAAAACATGAATAAGAAGAGATGGTGTTGATTGTCACAACTAGATATGAAGAGAAATTCAAAAACCAATGATACTTGGATTAAGGATGCTCATCACATATGTCTGGAAAGAAAGATTAGTTTGTCAACATAAATTTGAAAATGACAATACTCTAGCAGCTGAAGGTATTTGTGATGTTTTGATTATGAGGAATGATGGAAAAAGGTAAATAATTTCTAATGTGTTGTACATACCATTCATGAAGAGCAATTTTCTCAGTATAGAGCAGTTGGTAAAAATAATTACATGGTGTCGATTGAAGACAAGTTGATGAGAGTTGTCAATGAAAATGGAAGGTTAATCTTCAAGGCTCATATGTCTCAGAATAGAACCTTCAATATTGAACTTAATGTGATGCAGCTTAAATGCCTTGCAACTACAAATAGTAGGGATGAATGGATATGGCACTATCTACTAGGACATCTCAACTTTAAAGACATCAAAGATTTGAAATAAAGAAATATGGTTTCAGGATTTCCAGAAATCGACATTCCAAATGAAGTTTGAGGAATGTGTGTAGGCGAAGCAGCACAAGAATAGATTTAGCCAGAATGCATGAAGCAAGTTGAAGGAAATCCTTGAAGTCATATACTCTGATGTATATGGACCAATCCAGGTGGGTTGGATTGGAGGTAATAGATACTTTTTCACATTCATATCCGATCAAGAAGAAAAGTGAAGTGATCGAGGTATTTGTCAAGTTTAAATCGATGGTTAAAAGACAAAGTGGTCGAAAGCTCAAGATTCTGAGGACCGATGATGGTAGAGAGTATGTGTAGAAAGAATTCGATGTATTATGTGAGAAAGGAGATTATGTATGAGGTGATTCCACCCTACACTCTACAACAAAATTGAACTGCAGAAAGGAGAATCGAACCATCATAAATATGGTGAGAAGTATGTTGAACGACAAGCATTTACCTAAACAGTTTTGGGGTAAAGTTGTGTCGACCGTAACATATATTTTGAATAGATGTTCGAAGAAGAAGCTATAAGGAATTACGCTAAAAGAATGTTGTTATTGTGTCAAGCCTAGCTTAAGTCATTTGAAAGTATTTGGATCTATAGCTCATAGACATGTTCCAGATCAGTTGAGAAGAAAACTCGATGATGAATTGAGTCAAATGATTCTAGTAGGATATCATTCGACTGGAGAATACAACTTGTTTGACCCGGTGAACAAGAAAGTAGTGATCAACAGGGACATGGTCATAAATGAGCTTAAGGAATGAGAATGAACTGAAAATATAAACACGAATTCAGTGAGATTATTTTGTGAAGAACCAGCCACTAAAGTTGAAAGAGAAGAAGTTCGACAGAAAGAAGTCAGAGATGAAGCAGGCCCAAGCAGACCTCAAACAATAAGATGCATGCCTGCAAGGTTGCAGGATTGTGTGATTACATCAGATGAAGTGGTCAATAATGAAGGTGAGATGGTACACTATGCTTTCTATGCAGATGTCAAACTAGTCAATGATGTTGGGGAATTGAAGGATTCAAAGTGGGTGAAAACAACGAATGAGGAAATGAAGTCCATCAAAATCAATAACACTTGGTCACTTGTTAAATTTCCTCAAGTCAAGAAGGAAATTAATGTCAAGTGGGTATACAAGGTGAAGTTGAATCTAAGAGGGGAAGTAACTCGACACATGGAAAGACTTATGGAGAAATGATTTGTTCAGAAAGAAGGAATCGACTCTGATGAAGTCTTTTCACTTGTTGCTAGAATCGAAAATATCAGTTTGGTTATTGGTCTAGCTAACATGAATAGTTGACACATATGTCAGATGGACGTAAAATGTGAATTCTTAAATGAATCCTTGGACGAATAAGTTTATGTTGCACAACCAATTGAGTTTGTGAAATATGGCGAAGAGAAAAAAGATATACATGTTGCATAAAGCCTTGTAAGGACTTAAACAAGCTCCAAGAGCTTGGAATAAGAAGATTCACAGTTTTCTAAGGGAGAAGGAATTTTTGAAGTGAACAACTGAGCATGGAGTATATATAAAAAAAAGCAATAGTGAATTGTTTATATTATGTCTCTATGTCGATGACTTGTTGATAACGGGTAGCTGCAAGAAAGAGATCGAAGACTTGAAAGGTGATCTTAGCAAGGAATCCGAAATGTATGATCTGAGAGATATTTCATACTCTCTTGGCATCGAATTCTACAAAAGTAGTGGAGGTTTGATGATGCATCAAAGAATATATGCAAGTGAAATTTTCAAGAGATTTGATTTGGAAGAATATAATTTGACTTCAAGACCTACTGAACCAAGACTGCAATTGTCGAAAGACTCACATAAAGATGATGTCGACCCAACCGAGTATAAAAGACTTATTGGGTCATTAAGGTACCTTTGTCGCACAAGACCTGACTTAGCATACAATGTAGGTATGATGAGTAGATTCATGCAAAAGCTAAAGGTACCACATCTAGAAGCAACGAAGAGGATACTAAGTTATCTGAAAGAAACTCTCGACTATGGCATTCTGTTTCGTGCTGTTTATAAAGGATAAAAATACAAGTTAATGGCTTACGCCGACTCAAGTCGGTATAGTGATGTTGAGGATCGAAAATCCACAACTACTTATATATTTATGTTAGGTGGTGCACCCGTTACTTGGAGTTCGAGAAAAGAATCAGTAGTGGCATTGTCGTCATGTGAAGCAGAGTACATAGGTCCTTCTCTTTGTGCATGTCAAGCAACATGTATGGTGAATTTGGTCGAAGAGATAACAAAGAAGAATCATGGAGACATTTCTATGATGATCGACAACATGTCAGTTATAAATCTTGCGAAGAATATGATAGCACATGGTCGAAGCGAGCACATTGAGATGGAGTTTCATTATCTTCAAAAGAAGATAGCAAAAGAAAAGTTGAACTTGGAACACTGTAGAACCGAGAATCAGATCGCAGACATCATGATAAAAGATGTTCAGGTCGAAGTATTCAAAAGACTAAGAGCTATGATGAATGTAGATAGCTTATACACATTGAATCATGTGGTGTGTTGAGATTGTAATTCCTTGTGTTGAAGCAGGTAGTGCTCGACAGAAATAAGGATGTGTCGAAACATATAGTGTGTGCCGAGTTGTGTTAGCTGTCAAATTGTCAAAGCATGTTGTTTGACATAGATTTCGACGTAGACCAAAAAAGATATTTTGACTTTTGAGTTTTCGGCTTTAACTTAGGGAGCAAACTAACTCTATTATAAATAGAGGGAGTAACCCTCTTTTTTTGTAATCACTTCTTGCAGTTGCAATTTTGAGAATAATATTCAGTTAGAATAAGCAGAGACAAACTCTACAGGAAATTCTCTTCTTCCCTATTTTGTTCAAACTCTAATCTTCTTCTACCCTTTCTCGAAAATAAGTCGGTCTTTTTCTCGAAACCATGCTCTAATACCATTTGTTGGAGGGAGTTACTAGGAAGAGCATTGATACAAAGTTGAGGACTAGGCTCCTTTGTGAGAGACACACCATTTGTCCACCTAAAACCTTAAGGTGATAGGTGATTGAGTTTTTTCACTTATATATATTCAAGTCACCATATTCTTATCCAATGTGAGACTATTTTACCAGTTATCCACACTTGCATTATTATTCTAACAGTTAATTAGTGCACAAAATCATCTTACAACTAATGTTGGTTGATTCACTTGAGTGAAAAGTGAAGAACAAGATATTTAGATCGGATTGATTGTATCTTATTCACGAAGATTGATTAAAAATTTTTATAGATTCCGTGTAATTCCCAACAAATTTATCACCACTTATTTTAAAAACATATATTTTTTTATTATTACAGTCATACTGAAGATGAATAAATGAATTGAAATGATTTCATTGATTGAGAAGTATACAAGTTGAGCTCACACATCAACTCAATAGATAGATACAATTGTAAGTGAAGAAATATGAAAACAGTTGCATATAACAAGTTGTGCAACTAAATTAACAACAAAAAAAAACAAATAAAATTAACTATTAATTAATCTAATATGTCACAAAGTATAGTTTTTGTACTAAGCTTCTTGACTTCTTCTACCATGTGTACTAGAAATATAGAGAGAGGTTCAGTATCTATAGTATGTGAGAACAAGTAATAACAACAATTTGAAAACCAATTAATGTCCTTTGCCTTTTTTGCTTGGTCCAGAAGCTAATCTAAATGCTAAGCTTCTTGCTGAACTACGAATGCTTGAGTTGTTTGAAGAAACAGAAAACGTTGTCATTCCAACATATTCTTCAGATTTTCCTTCACAACCATCAAATTTTTCTGCATTTACTGCCTCAGATCGAAGAACTCTGCTATGTACAACACACAAGTCGCAAGATACCATAACCATTATCATAACCAACACAATCCAAAAACTCTTCATCTTCAATAAAACCCTTCTTTTTCCTTGATTATATCTGTTACTTAGATGAAGTATGTAACTAATGTGCGTGTATATATATAGATAGATACACACACACAAGTTCCTAAGTGTGGCGGTGAATACTTTTTCTATATGTATATCCATAAAAGCTGCAAGCTGTTTGACTTTAATTTGCTTTGTCATCATAAAATGTTGAAATATTACTATCTATATTGGAGAAATAAAAAGTGAAAACTAATTATACCATTGTTTGACACTTAAGAGAAAAAATTGGAGCAACAGTGTACAACAGGAATATTTGGTTTTAAAAGTGTCTTTTGCATGTTCATGCTGATTAAACCCTATATGTTTTCACACGGTTTTTTGTTTCTATGATACGATATGATTGCTTATGTTCAATCTGTTACGCGGTACATATTTACTTTCTTTTATTTTTCTCTGTATATTTTAATAATGTTTTCCCTTTTTGTTTTCCATGTCACCAGTAGAAGCCTTAAAAATCTATTAGAAAAGTGGTGGACACACGTTTAGTTGAACTGTAACCACCTTTGAATTCAAGCCGGTGGCTATGGCAGTGGATCATCCCATCAAAGCTTGTGGCTCAATGTTGTTAATGGAAGGACCCATGTAGTTTCCTATTAAACAAAAGTCATTGGATAATATATATTTTATGTTATTCACTAATTTTTTTCCCACCAACTATAATGAAAGTAAGGAAACTATAAGAGTGGCTATTCATCTTTACAAATCTGATTTTTCTAAAGATAAACCTAATTTAAAAAAATTGTTGGACGATAAGGGTACAACAATTGTCGCGTTGGATTTAAAGAATTATTTAGAGTCTATTTTAGAGTATATATATATATATATATATATATATATATATATATATATATATATATATATATATATATATATATATATATATATATATATATATATATATATATATATATATATATATATGTATACATATATATATATATATATATATATATATATATATATATATATATATATATATATATATATATATATATATATATATATATATATATATATTAGAGGTATAATTTTTGTTCTGTCGAAATGTTTGTGTGGTGTATGTCGAATAACTTTTGTATATGTTGTAAGTTGTATTCGACAGAGTCAAATACATCAAATATTGCAGTCTGTCGAAATTATATTTTGGGCTTTAGCATTTTGTCTAATTGGGCCTGAACATTGTTTGCTTGTAAAACAACTGCTGAGTTTGTAATCAAACATTCATATTCACAGTGAGAAATAATTCACATAACAAACTCTCAATTCTCTCTCTTTTCTCTTCTTTTTCTTCTCTTTCATAAATCATCTTTCTTGAAAATCCTTTGTTCCAACAAATTGGTATAACAGAGCTCGGTTGCGATTCAGAGAGAATCTAATGGCAAACGGAACAACAACATCAACACAGTTTCCAACGAAAAAAAAATCAGTTTTCAAAGGTGAAAACTATCAGCGGTGGGTTGCGCAGATGGAGATTATTTTCAGATTTCAAGATGTTGTTGAAATCGTGAGTGATGGAGTATCAGAACTAGAAGCAGATGCGACGGAAGCCTAGAAAACTACGCATAAATATCAAAGGAAGAAAGATGATAAAAGACTATTCTTGATTCACCAGTGTGTGGATTTTGATGTATTCGAGAAAATAATTGAAGAAGAAACATCAAAAGGATTTTGGAAAAAGCTAAAATCCTTGTATGGTGGAGATGAGAAATTGAAGAATGAAGTTGCAGACACTAAGGAAGCAATACGAGATGCTTCAGATGAAAGAAGATGAATCAATCTCTGCATATTTCTCAAGAGTTCTGACGCTAACAAACCAGATGAAAGCGTGTGGTGAATCGGTTATGGATCTGCAGAAAATAGAAAAGGTGTTGAGATATTTAATTGCAGATTTTTACTATATTGTTGTGACAATTGAAGAGGACAAGAATCTATCTGAGATATAGTTGGAAGAACTTCAAGCTTCATTGAATGCTCATGAAATGAGTTTGAAGTAGATAAACTCAAAAAGAGAGAAGGTGACTGAACAGGAATTGTAATCAAGATTCAGCAAGAAAGCTGGAAAAGAGAAGTCGAAGTAAAGAAAGAATCTTGCTAGTGATGAGAAGTCAAGCAAGAATACTGATTCAATAAAGAAAGGCATGGGCAACAAGTATTTTGGAAAGAAAGTTGACACGAAAGAGGTGCAATGTTACAATTGTCAAGGTTTTGGTCACTATGCTAGAGACTGTCGAAGAAAGAAAGTTGTGAGGGAAAAAGATAGTGATGAAGCTCAATATGTACGAGCTGGAGATAGTGATTCAAATGATGTGTTGTTGATGGTGAACACTCAGTCGAACACTAAGAAAAATAACATGTTGTATTTGGATTCAAGATGCAGCAACCACATGACTAGCAATAAAAACTTGTTTACCAAGTTAGATGAGTCAGTCGAAAAGGTGATAAGGTTTGCAGATGACAGGAACATCAAATCAGGTGGTAAAAGAGATATTTTGATTGTCAATAAGGATGGTCGAAAAGCTACTATCACTGAAGTACTATATGTACCTTTTATGACAAGTAACTTGATAAGTGTAGGTCAATTACTTGCAAAAGGCTTCAATTTGAAGCTGAAGAAAAATCAAATGAAGGTATATAAGGCTGATGGGAGGTTAATAATGAAAGCACCATTAGTGTAGAATAAAACATTCAAAGTTGAACTCAACACATCAGATCACAAATGTCTTGCTTCAATTAGAGAAGAAGATAAGAACTGGCTATGGCATCACAGGTATGGACATCTAAACTTCAAGAGTTTATGCATGCTCAATCAGTAAAAGGATGGTATTTGGGTTTCCGTATGTAAAGGAACCAAAGCAGGTATGCAAGGAATGTTGCAAAACGAAACAGGAAAGGAAGGCGTTCAAACATGACTTACCCATAAAATCAAAGAAAAAACTGGAGTTGGTTCACTCTAATGTGTGTGGACCCTTTGAAGTAAAGTCAAATGGAGGTAACATGTATTTCTTACTTTCATTGATGAATTCACCAGACATATATGTATTTAACTTATTGAAAGGAAGAGTGAGGTATTCACACAGTTCAAGAAGTTCAAGTTGTATGTTGAGAAACAAAGTGGCTGCAAATTGAAGAAGTTAAGAATTGATATTGGTGGTGAATATACTTCTGCTGAATTTGTTAGATTTTGCAATGAGGAAGGTATAGATCGTGAGGTTATTGCACCCTATACACCTCAGTATAATGGCATAGCTGAGAAAAAGAATAGAAGTATATTGAACATGACGAGAAGTATGTTGAAAGCTAAAGATGTGCCTAAGAGATTTTGGGCTGAAGCAACTTCGACAACAGTATATATTCTAAATAGATGTCCAATGAAGAAGATGGTCGAAAATACACCGCATGAGGCTTGGATAGGGTCAAAGCCAAATGTGAGTCATCTTAGAGTTTTTGAACCAATGTGCTTCAGGCACACACCTGAACAATTGAGAAAGAAGTTGGATGATCAAAGTGAAGTCATGGTGCTAATAGGTTATCATTCGACTGGTGCATACAAGTTATATTCGCCAAACGAAGATAAACTAGTGATCAATCGAGATGTTCTTATAGAAGAAAGCAAAGGGTGGGACTCGAGTCAGTGTTAAGTTTGGCAAGAATCAGACACAGTCATAACTGTGTTCGACGAAAATGAACCGAATGAAGCTTCGACAAGTCAAAATAAACAAGGTGATACTTCAACCAGTCAAAATGAAGAACCACCTGTGCAGAATGAAAGAAGATCGACAAGAACAAGAACTGAGTCGTCCAGGATAACTGGATATGAAAGGTTTCCAAATTATGAAGTCGATGCAGATGGTGACTTAATCGAAGAAGTCATGATAATGGCTGAAGCAAAACCAATTGACTTGGGCGAAGCCTTGAGCAATTCGAATTGGTGTGAAGCCATGAAAGAAGAACTTAGAGTTATTGAGAAGAACAAGACATGGGAGCCTGTCGAAAGAACCAACAAAAAACCAATCGATGTAAAGTGGATTTACAAGGTGAAATGAAAGGCCAAATGGTGAGATTGCGAATTATAAAGCAAGACTGGTGGCCAGAGGTTTTCATAAAAACCTGGTTTTAACTTCGAAGAAGTATATACGCCTGTTGCAAGGTTAGAAAAAAGCATAATTGTTGTTTATACAACAACATATAGAGGATTGGAAATGCATTAATTAGATGTAAAGTAAGCATTGTTGAATGGTCTATTGGAAGAAGAAGTCTACGTTACTCAACCACCAGGATTCAACGTCAAACGACAGGAGTCGAAAGTATATAGATTAAGGAAGGCTCTCTATGGTTTGAACAAGCTCCTAGAGCTTGGAATAAGAGGATAAATAGCTTCCTGATCGACGCATGTTTCACAAAGTGTGTCTCTGAACATGAAGTGTATGTAAATGATATCGACAATGTCAGTCGAATCATTTTATGCCTCTATCTTGATGACTTACTCATTACAGGATCAGGTGAAGCTGAGATAATGAAGGTAAAGTCGAAATTAATAGATGAATTCAAAATGTATGACTTAAGGAATCTCTCATATTTCCTATGGATGGAATTCAAAGACATTGAAGAAGGAGTATTCTTGCATCAAATGAAGTATGCTCAAGATATTTTGAAGAGGTTTAATATGAGCAACTGTAAGGCAGCTATCACTATGTTAGAAACTGGATCAAAGTTGAAAAAGGAAACGAATGATAAGTTTGTAAGTTCAACCCTTTACAAACAAATCATTGGATCCTTGAGACATCTTTGCAATACTAGACCAGATATCTGCCAAAGTGTAGGATTGTTGAGTAGATTTATGGAGAAACCACAAGAATGTCATTTCATTGTAGTAAAAAGGGTGTTGAGATACATAAAGAGAACTATTGATCATGGTGTATTGTTACCAA